ACAGCTGCTTTTTAAGAAGAATTACACTCGTAAATTTACTTATGTGATCATTGGTCATTTGCAAAATTATTTTGTTAAAACGCATTCTGATTGCACACACTAGTACTCTGAAGTTGAAATCAGAAAGATGCTTGAGTTTCTGATTTACAATATATGGTGTTTGGAGACCTGGTCTTCCAACAATCTAGTGGAATTCTCATGGGGTACCAATTGCGCTCCGTTATTAGCAGACTTATTTTTGTATTCATATGAAGCAGAATTTGTGCAAAATCTTATGCTTAAAAAAAAACACTTGCTGTGGTCTTCTACTCGACATTTAGATATATGGACGATGTACATGTATTGTCAATTAACAATGGTAATTTCTATTCCTACGCCGATACGATATATCCTGGTGAGCTTGAGATAAAAGATACCACAGAGTCTGACACATCTGTTTCATTCTTAGATATTTTACTTGAAAAAGACGTTAATGGTTATGTAACAACCAAACTCAATGATAATCGTGATGACTTTAACTTTTCTATCGTCAACTTCTCTTACTTACATGTACGCAGCAATACCTTCATCACCTGCATAAGTAGTTTATATATCCCAGTTGATTCGATAAGCAAGAGCATGCTCTGTTGCAACTATTGAAATAACGACCACTATTGAAATAGTTATTTCAATAGTGGTCGTTATTTCAAAAGTGGTTACAACAATGCTCTACGAATGAATAATCTCTTAAACGGGGTAAATTATTGACAAATAAATTGTTGAAACAAGAATATCAGCAGTCTCGTTTAGAGTCATAATTTCATAAGTTCTATGGTCAATGCAATGGCCTTGTCAGCAAATACAATTTAACATTGAGGCGAATTCTGTCTGACGTTTTTCATACTAATTGTTAGTCCATTATTTATACAGTTAATTGACGACGGATTTTCCCGTTATTTCCCGATCATGACAAGGAGCACACGGTGGGTGTTACCGGTCTGCAGGGGATGCTCAATCCTCCATGGCACCTGATCCACCTCCATTTTTTTTGAGGTCCTTGTTCATGTTGTTTGCTCTTCTCCTGTTTTGTATTGCTTTATGGACTTTGATATTGAATACTGTTCATTATCTCCATATCTTTCTAATCCGTGGTGACCATAATGATTGTAATGATATTTCTGATATACATGCACAAACTCAAACACAGAAACTGGCCATTACCTTGTGGTAAAATATCAAAGCAAATAATCTAGGGATTATAGTCTGACACTTTATCTTTATACATGATAATTGAATTTATATTGGGCGACAATTTAAATTGGGGGGAGGGGGTTGAATTTTGCAGAATCAAGAGCATGTAAATATAAGGAATAACTGTCAGATTTTTTGGTTTCATGATGATAAAGCGATTGGTTTGAGTGATAATTTTATGCATAAATGCCTTCAGCGATAATGCAAATCATCGCACAAGCCAATTGCTTAATCACATCATGAAACCAAATACTTGTAATTAGACGGTTATCCCTTAAGGATACCGGTATCCGATCCTCAGCCAGGAAGGACTGAATATTTAATTTGAAAAGCATCAAAATAAAGCTCGAAAATGAAATTTTTTCATGCAACAATTTTCATGTTATTTATCTTCATAAGATTCAAGGTCTTTGGAAGTCTTAGAAAAAGGTCTTAGAAAAGCTGACATTTGTACCCTATCAAAGGAGAAAAAATTAATACAATTTTAGAGAAATAAGATTTTCTTGAATCCAGCCTTAGTCACCAGTGTTTATTGGCATGATATGAAATGAGAAGTGATTTGTGGTGTCTTGCAATGATAGCAAAAGACTTTTACATTATGTATTATAGAATACATGACGGAAATATAAGACAAAAAATACCAAATATTTAAAGTATAAAAATCATGACAATTTCTCTAAATGCCTGGATACCTATTGTTTTTTATTTTAACCAAAAATATATTTGTTGATCAATTTGCAAATTAGAAAATGCTTTGCTGATATTCCAATTCGCTTTTTCTGCAAAAATATTGGAAATTTGACAATTTTCCCTATATAATATGATTAACTTTAATCTTTAACTTTAAAGAAATACTGTGGATAGATTTACATAATTTTGTGGATTCAGAGACACTTTTATGAGTATTTTTGATTACTTTACTGCTATTTGTATAAACCTGAGGATCGGACTACCGTATTTGAAAATGCTGACAGCTTAAACATATAGTGATATACTTGTAAATTTAATCGTATGTTTACTCTTTACTGAGAAAAGTAACAAATATATTTAAGTATGAAATACTACCATTTTAGAGAGTGTTCGAAAAAACCGAGCTACTGGAGATTCTACAAATAAAGACATTGAGAACACTATCAAAGAATGGCTTAGGTATTCCAAGGACAGGTATGGGGGAGGAAGAAACGGGCAGAGAAGAAAAGGGAGTAGGAGACTCAGGAGAGGGATCAGATTGAAAGTGGCAGTGCCTTACTTTTTTCTGTTATTTACTGTAGCATACTTGTAGTTCTACCCTTTGTGTCTGTTTGTCGGTAACAAACACGTTGCAGATGCTAGAAACCTTATTTTGTTTAAGTAAGCTATATGGCGGGATTCATTTTTTAGTATTGTTTTACCTGCAATTTACTGAACTTGTGTATTTAAATCAAAGAGGGAGTATACATGTAACCGTACATGCATCGCTAAAAATGAACATTAGCTTTTGTTTTCTTCATGAATCGAACAATGAAATATGTAAGAATTTAATTCATTTTTTGTTTTCTTTTTTTCTCAGGCTTTTTCTTTGCATTAATGTAGAGATACTTACAATGCATAACTTGTTGATGTTAATCTTATGAGATATTGTGAATACATATATGCATGTATTAATCTAGCACATTGGTATTAAAGGGCTTTTTTCAGTATAAAGTACCACAAAACTAGTCTAACCTTATTATATATAGTTTGTTGTTTCAATTTTAAGGACAAATGACCAACCAATGAAGAGCAAATGAGTTGTCCTGATGGAGAACCAATAAGATACCAACCGACATTGACCTAAAAATGATGTTTACCCAACAATGGCTCAATAATATCCGTTACATTGGCCCAATAATAAATCAACAAGTTGGTCTGATTAAGGGCCAATGAGCAAATTACCGTTGGCCCAACATTAATTGCTTACAATGGCCTAACTGAACAAAAATGACGTTTGCCCAATATTGAAAGAATACATTGGCACAACAATGGCCCAATATTGTCTGTTACATTGGCCCATGCAACAATAAGCCAAGAAGTTGGTCTGATTAAGGGCCAGTGAGCAAATTACCGTTGGGCCAATGGCAATGTTAAATGAATACGATGGCCCAAAATAAGTAGCACTGTTGGCGCAACAATGGTCCAATAACATGTTACTATATAGGTATGTGCCTCATCAAAAATCAGAATTAGAGAGGTCTTCATGTCTAATGGAAAGTACCGGTGTTACGTACGTATGACTCCTTGAATCCACAGTCACTGAAACATTCGTCAAACTGTATGGACAATGGAGAGCTCAACAGCAACAAAGACAGCAAACAACTCACTGCCAGTGATGATGGGAAAAGGTGAAACAAAAAATTAACACTTTATACTTCTATTCCAGGAAGTAGCCTCTTATGCCCCGAAAAGAGTTCCTGTTAAAACTCTTTATCTACTTACAAAATATGTAAAATGCCCCAAGTACTGGGAACAAAATTTAAAAAAAAATAGATTGAAAGGAAATTATGAACTGTGAAATGTACGTATGACGTCACGTCTGCAAAGTGCTAAAAGCCAAAACACGCTCAACTTGGTGACGAAAAGTTTGTCAACGATTTTCTTGTACCATTTGATGTATCAGAGGGATAAACATTTTTGCAGTTTTTATAGACGATATGCATTTCATGCAGTCTTTTAACAGTTGACGGAATTTCCGTGGGGTCTGGCTTTTTACTTACGTTGCCTAAGTAAAGATAGAGGCAACAACGTCTAAACCGTCGTCAGAGAGGGTCTTTAATGGGTTCTAATCAACAGTGAAGATGACGTTGACGCGTAAAAGAGCCACGTACGCCAAGATCGGGTTACTCAACCTGCAACCTGTTTAATCACCACCATACTACCAAAGAAAACTGCTGTGAATATAAGAGGCTTTAGTTATCTTTACTTTAACCATAAAACTAAAAGAAACCAAATGCTAGATTTGGGTTTTATGGTTGGTCAATTATACGTTGTTGTTCCTCTCACTGGTGCATGCGTGTGCCGTTTGCCTTCTTTGGTACATGGCCCAATGTAGCCCGTTTTTATCAAGACTTTCTCGCAAAATGTCATAGTTACCCATTCGACTGTTCTCCTTTTTCTCATTAAATATCTATGTGACTACGTTGACTTGATAGGTTCGAAATACCCACGCTGGTCTCTTTTAAACTAAAGTTTGCCTTATTGAAAGGATTAAATAATATCCCCATTTTAAGGATAAACACACGAACTCCAATCAAAGAGAATCAAGGCTGTGAAAGATGCGCGGAGGAGACTTTGACGTTAATGAGAAATTTCAATTTCAACTTTTGGGGGGGTATTGTCATTAGAGCTTCAATAACTCATGAATAATGAGGCTAACTCAATTTTCAGTAAAAGATAATTTTTAATGTTAGATTGGTAAACTAGAAAACACATAAGGAAAAATAAAATTATTTCACATTAAAATTTAACCACGCGTTTTTTTTCCCCATTCATATATGTATTATTACAAAATTTTATTATGCAGCAAATTGATACATCGGTTATATAACATACAACTTCAATTACACAGAGTACAACACAGTGCTGTATATTATTTCAGATATTTTATTTTCTTCACTTGTCTGCTCAAAAATTCAGGTACAAACAGATTGTCATTTTTATCTGTACACGGTCCCAAAGGATTACACAGTCCACATTCTATGAAACAGAGAAACTGTCCATCGTGGTCTATGATGTGGACACAATCATTGTAATAATCAGCTGTAAGGATGTGACTGACTGTCGGTGGTAATTCCTCTTGGACCGAATAATTTGTTCTTTGGAGCAGGAGTATGTCCAGTGTACCTGAATCTCAGATTCCCGGTCTTATTGACCACCACTACTACTTTAGCTTCATTGTCAGTCACGCAAATATCCAGGTTCCTGTTCTCAGTTATGTGTCTGTTACGACTACCAGTTGAATAGAGAAGTTTACCTTTATCATCAAACTGAATGGTTTTTATCTCTGTGGAGCCAGAGTAACGGACAACTTTTCTTTGTTTTTTATCATCACTATACATGATAACCAGGAGGTCACCAGAGGAGGTACTACAGACACACTGAGGTTTCCAGTTCTGCAGTCTGATCACCTCCTCTATCTTCTCATTCTTCACAATGTTCACAGTTCTATCTTTGTTATCAGTATAAACTAGATCTCCGTCTTTTGTCACTGCTATATCCCATGGTGAGTTCCCTGACTTGGTTGTGATTGACTTGAGCAGTGATCCCTGATTAATGCTGAAGAGTTTCATGGTGCTGTCATTTCCTCTTGTCCAGATTTCTTCATCACTCAGACAGGCCACATTGTAAAGGTGACGACTATACCTAGTGTCTATGGTGATGACCGTCTCTGGTTCATCAAGCAGCTGTTTGGCTGGAGGAGAGTATCCAGCTTCTGGTGATTTCTGGGTTGTCTTCATGCTGTAGCCATGTTTATCTGAGGTTAAAGAACTTGATGATAAGACTCCAAATAGTTTTAGAAGTTCTTCTTCGAGTATTTTTTTCGGCATGAATTTGGGTAAAGATGGCACTATTTTGTGTGGAAGATTTCTGTATATATGTACTCTGGATGTGACGCTAGACAGTTTTGACAAGTCATTAGTGTCTGTAGCCATTTCAATTGAATCAATTTCATCCTTGATGTCAGACATTGTCTTGTTTATTTCATCCAGTTGTCTCTGTAGAGTTTGTAACTGTGTGTTTTTCATCTCATCAACTTCAGCTTTAAGTTTCCTGACAAGTTTGTCAATTTCTCTGTGCCAGTCCTCTCCATGTTTTGTTATGGCTGTTGAGAGATCTCCATATTCCTTTTCTAGCCGACTCATTCTGTTTTGTACATCAGAGGCAATGTCCTGGTAGGTTGGATAAATTTTATCATTTAATTCATTTCTTTCTTTCGTAATTCTTTCTTTCTTTTCATCCAGAACTCTCAAGATTTTAGATAATTCATGACCTAAGTGTTCATTTGATTCAATGCAGCTGGTGCAGACAGGAATATCACATTGATTACAGTACATGATACATTGTTGTTTTTCATGAGATTTACATCCAGGGTATTGGGGGTGGATTTTCTGGACTGAAATTTGACGACTTGGTGGTCCTTGGATTCATCTGTTGATATGTGTTCTCCCACACAGGCCTTACACAGGTTGACAAGACATGTATCACAGTGCATCTGTACCACAGCTGTCTCACACAGGTCACATCGCATCACGTCCTGGGCACTGGTACGGGGGTCCATGATTAGATTTTGTTTCTAAAGCATAAAAATTTATCATTAATAGTAAATCCATGTAGCGGAAGTGTTTGAAACTCACTGTAAAATTAGCTTGACATGTAGGACTGATTGCTAGTGAAAGTTATTATCCTTGACAAAAATGTACTAGCCCCCCCCAAAAAAATTGTCTTTTATAAGTTTTTTTTTAGCAGTAATGTAAATGGGGCTAACTCATTATATATTCGATCCCAGACCTATAGGCTAATGAATTCTACTTAATTGTTAAGGCTAAAAAAATGACAACAGAAACAAAAAACAAAATGCCCATACTCATCGTCTTTTTTTTTGGGGGGGGGGAGGGATCTTTCACTAAGTTTTCTGTAAATCTTTCTTTATTTAAGAATTTGCCAGAGTTTAACTTTACAGCAACAAAAAGTGGGGAAACCAATCAACCTTTTTATGAAAAATTTCATAATAAAACTATCAGCAAAAGACTATTGTCCAAAACAAATTGGGAGGATTGAGCCCATGTCACATACTACAAGCCTGCATATGTACATAAACAAGTAATTGGATAATATTATTAAAACAAGGTTCATCGAATCTTAATTTTTTAAAGAAATTTTTCTTCCAGTAGTTAAAGCTTATGGAATTTCATTTTCAATGATTTTGTGAACATCTCATTATCACAGAAAAACTTGCTGTATTTCCTACCTGAGTTCAGTAATGGCGTCTTTCCTTGATCAAATTCCAATTGCAGTCTTAATGTACACAGATCACGTGACATACCTGTGTTATCTACCTGTCAGGTGTTTATACTTCCTGGTCTAAAAGGAGATTTAAATACGTTGTTAAAAATAAATTCTGTTTAAAATGCAAGTTTTATTTCATAAAATACATGTAGACCAATTCCTGTGAATTGAATAGATTCATCATAACTGTCCCCCACCTTTACAAAAGGTAGCTAGGAACACTTTCTCCATAACCAATATAATCAGACTAACTAGAGGAACTGTGAGCAATGAGCTCACTAAATGATACTCCCCGCCTCCCATATGAATATAATGGCAGCATCCATGTTTTGCTTTGGGAAACCCAAAATATGTGTCGGATCAAAAAGTAAAATAGAAGGTGCAAAATAGCAATATGTAATAAAGATTCTGTGAAAGTTTCATCAAATTTCATTTTGTGGTCTGAGAGGAGTAGCGGATAAGAGATGGGTACCCCAAAGCATAACAGACGGATGGATGGACGGACAGACAGACATACCAATTACTATATACCCTCCCGCTTTTCAAGCGGAGGTATAACTAACTTGCCACATGGGGTGGTGAAGAAATAGTAAAGTACTTGTAGCTATCGTGAAATTGGTTTATAACTTCAGTTATTTTTAAGCCAAAATAATACAACTTGTGTAAGAAGGAAACGTAAGATAAATTTAAGTTTGGATTCAGTGTGCTACTTAAGGAATGTCACTCGTCAGTTTAGAAAAGTTCAGACGGAACATTTTGTTTTTTTAAATACTGTTTGATTTTGTTATAATTGCAGTCCGATAATATATATTCAGTCTTATAATTATTATTGTTGGACAGCTACAGGTAAGTTTTTAGACTGCAAGAATAAAGGCATGATGTCATAGCGATGTTTTAAGTTCACATTCTGTATCACTAAAAACTAGACGCATCTAATACTTGCGATGCAAGTTACATGTAAAGAACACATTCCATTCCATTAAAAGTATTTTGACTTCTCAGTTATAATGCTGCTAATTTCATGTTACAAATGAAATTACAATTATCTTCACAAGCAATTTAAGGTAGGACAAAACACCTGTGGATTCTATTTTAACCAATTTCTTAAAAAGTACCGGAGAAAAGAAGAATAAGTTACTATAATGACATCAATGAATAATCCCTGTAAGAAAAATAATAAGTTTTGGCATGTTTGCGTCATATTTTGTGAAAAAATCAGAGAATCCTATATATTGGTCACTTGGGGGCTTACATTTGGAATGTTTTTATGCTAACTAAGTGAAATAAACAAGCATATGACAGTCTGTTATAAAATGCAGTGTAACTTTTGTTCCATACATAGTAGAGAAATGATATTTGGACACATATATCAGGGGTCTCCATTCTTTATGTACTACTAAGGTCAAGGTCATATCAAGAGGTCAAAGGTCAAATATTGTGACGTCATCTACTGAATCTTTTAGTTTTTTTGCCATTGAAATTTTTTTGATCGCAAAAATATCTGAAACCACCGGATCAATTTTCTTTATTTGTACACATTTTATTCTAGGACCCATATGAATCATTCTGTTGATTTTTTGTAAAAATTGAATTATACATTTTCTCTTACGAAAACTTAAACTGTCGGATATTTACATGTAAATTTTCAATTCCGTCGCTACGTATGTTGTATTTTTACTTAATATTTTACTAAAATTTTCCAGAATCAAGTTGACTTACTAACTTAAAGCAACACAAAGGTTATCTTTATTAAAAAGTATTACACAGATTTGCGATAGATCAATTGATAATTCTAAAATAAGGCTCATTCTCAAGTTTAATGTCTGATTTTACAATCTTTTTACAGGGGTCTGATAGGCCATATTTCAGACTATGTGGGCAAAAAATGTGTGGTTGAATTTCTTTCATATCATACATAAAGAGAGATTTTGTATCCTAGAACAAAATATCAAAGTTTCAGGAAAATTGAATTTGAGGAAAAATTTGGCCTATCTATTGTGTCCTACCTTAATTCTGATTATTGTATTTCAGTGACAATTAAGGGGGATGTACGGCCACCTTTAGTGCTGTGAGAACAAAATGTAAACATTTCTTCAAATGGCTAAAATACATGATATTTTGATCAAATTTTAAGTCCTTATGATAAAAATACAATAAATATTCATAACTGAATGCACGTTGTGCATATATAATCTATACTTTTGCAGAAAAATGCTTTTGATATGCTCCTTAGAACTGCGCAGCTACAGAATTCAGCAGAGCCTTAAAAAATCAAAAAAAATATGCAAACTGTGCATCAATGTTCTCTCTACAACCATTTGTTGAGAAAATGTCTAAATTTTGCACTTTTAAATGATAATTTCAAGTTCAAAACAAGGTATCGTTGTCTTCAAAAAGAGTGTAAAGAACCATGAAAGTAGTTCATGGATAGCAGCACGTGGTCTATTTTTAGCACAAAATTTTGTTTTCCAGAACTCTTCTTAATATGGAGGGACATAACAATCTTTAAATGTACAAGAGAATTACAGTTGCAAAATATTTCAAATAGTATGAACACTTTTAAAAGAGGAAATGTGTTATAGTATGGCTCGAAGTATCTTATTTAGTATTATTATCGAACAGTTGTTAAATAATGTACTTATTGATATCAAAGAAAAAATCTTAAACTCTTTGATTCCAGGTAAGGAAAAATGAGCACCATCAAAGTTAAGAATTAAAAGTTTGTAAGTTTGCCACACATACATGTAACTTATAATATATATCAAAATTTTAATTATCACCAATGAAACACAAAGAAATTAAACACATAAAATCGATATGAATGACCTTGATTTAGTACCTACTAGTACAAGGGGTGATCAAAAAGTTCGCGAACTATCTCTATATCTACAAAACCACAATTCAGATTTAAGAAACAAATTTGGTGCACACATAGCCAAACACAAATTCTATAAAATAGCATATGCTGAATAAAGTTTTGCTCATAATGACGTCATTATGCAGGTACTTGTGACGAAAAATGGTTGCCTAAGTGGAACTCGTTTAAGAAACGACTAAAATATTTATGGTATATCTTAAAAATGCCTTTGAAGTAGCATATAAGAATTTGTTCATAGTTTATTAAGACAAATAACTTCCTACAAATTCAATAAATTATTGGATAGATCGTTTTAGTGAAGGAAAGCAGATGGTTAAATATGATACTTATTACAATGAAGCGCATTGAAGTGGTAAAATTTTCCGTTCGAATGGAACGTTTTGAGCTATCTTTAGAACGTTTATTGTCATCTTATGACACGCCCATTTCTTTAGAAATGGATAAAACGGTCAATTTGTTTATTCGAATACCCGTAGAACAGGTTTTCCATAAATATAATAGCCAATCAAATTGACGGTCTAAATAAACACCGAGTAAACACGCGTTCGACCGAAACATGTGTTGTGGTAACTTCAATAGATATGATAAGTTTAAAAATATGTACATATTCGTTGCAATTTGCGTTTTACAGAAGCGGGGAGTCTCTAATTCTTTCTTCTAATTTTTTTAAAGCTCCATTTCGGTGTAACTCATGTTGCTTGTCACGAAGAGCGGGGTGTCCTTGGACATTACGACGAATATTTCTTTTTCGTTTCTAAAGAAATGGGCGTGTCATTATGTTATAATTGACGTTCAAAACATGACTCAGAACGTTTCATCCAAACAGAAAATTTTACCACTTCAATGCGCTTCATTGTATATTGCCCAGTGATATATTAGCAAGTTTGAAAAGGGATGTGTTTTTAATTAAGCAATATGCTATCAAAGACCTCCAATTTACACTTTGAAAAATACTTGAATATTTCAACAATAATATAACTATCAAATACCTAAGATATATCGTTTACTTTTTGATTTACCCTCGTATACTCTGTCAAATAAACATTTACAATTTTGATTTTAGCGGAGGAACATTTGAAAAGGAATGAAATCATTCAGAGTGGGTTAGGAGATTTAATGAATAAAAAAACTTTTTCTATTTGCCCTTTTTGTCAAAATTACAATTTTACAGAGTAAAGAAAAAAATCAACATTAATAAATATTTTATACCATCTTTAAAATGACGTTTCGTGGTCCTTCCAACTCAGGGAAAATTATTGGGTCCGTATTTATAGGTGAGAAAAAAATTCCTAAAATTTTAAACATATTCGTTGACGGAAGAAAAAAAAACATGTAATGGGATGTAAAAAAAAATGAGTCGGGCCATTTCTAGGACTTGAATAGATCGGGAGAGAGGGCAACCAAATATTTTATAACAAATTGTCTTATAAGGCTAGTACATGTTCCATCACATACTTAGTAATGCAAAATTTTTGAATCTTTGGCACTATTTTGAAAAACAAACAAAGGATTTTTTTTTTTGGGGGGGGGTTAGCCTCTCATTTTTTTTGCGTGATAGACATAGCTTATGCAATGGACTTTTCTTTGCAAACATTGTGCTTGCTTCTAAATTTCAAACAAACAACTCAATATATTTTATCAAGCTTCGTATGTTCTATGAGCAAGAGCTAACAATGTTGTCAACATAATGAGACATGATGCGTTTTTATGTCCAAACATTACTCCATACAATGTGTGGTTCGTTGCAAACAATCTAGCTATTTATGTGAGGTGCCTGAAGGAAATCCTATAACTGCCTAATTTTTCTTTCTAACTGCTAAACAAAATAGACACATGTACCAACTTTTCGAATGTAAGACGTGTAATTACAATTTGTTTTTCATGCACCGCATATTGTTTAACATTTTCAAATTAAATGCTAAGCATCCTCCTTGCAGTGCCCCATTTGAAGATAACTTCTATCGCCACAGGAAAAAGACCCACCGTAATCACATATGTTTAGGACATGTTTTATCTTTTTTCTTGAATTTTAAAGAAACCAACAAATCATCAAGACTTGTTCCATGAAAAATTAAATACAATCATGGTAATAAACGCATCTATCCACAGCAGATATATTCACATGCCAACCACGTGCTCAGTGGAATGATATTATCGAGGAAACTCGAGCTGTAAACAGAACAGTTTTTCCCGATTTGCTGGGGTGGGGTTAAAATCGCTTTTTTTTTTCATTAATCAGACGATGCAATGCAACAAATAAAAGTAGTAAGTAATATAACCTAATGATTATTACTTAGTTATTTCTTGTCTTGATGTTATTATGATCGCATTTATTTTAAAATCAATGCTATTCGAACTCTGTGTGACAGAGGAATGGCGGACGAAATAAACACATGGCCTCAGGAAGACACCCATATGAAAAATCAAATTTTCAAGAATTATGGATAATGACAAGAAAAAAGCGAAACAAATGGTTGTAGCCATATTATCAATGAATCAAACTAACACTATATTCAATGCATTTTTCATCTCGTGAATGCTGTAGCTGCGCAGTTCTAACATGATTAATTTCCTCCTAATTAAAACAAAATAAACTTAATTATTAACTGATTTTGGTCTCTAACAGTAGGTAATTAGTGCATTAGCACTTTGAGTAACTTTGGGCTAGTTTAGTAGAGTATTAAGCGCATTCTTGGTATTTCTTATTTTACACCAGACTAGATCCAATATGGCTTGTACATCCCCCTTAAGGAGAAGGACATTGTCTGGGTAAAGTGGAAGGGATGTCCTGTGTGGCCAGCTGTTGTAAGTACAATGATATAAATCAACACAACACTAGTCTTCATATTTTGATATTTCTATTGTTTCTCAACTCTGACTGTGACACATAAATATTTCACTGGGCAAACAGGAGGGCATTTTAACTCACCTAAGACGAAGGCTCAAGTGAGCTTTTCTGATCAAAATTTGACCGTCGTCTGTCGTCGTCTTTGGTGTCGTTGTTGTCTTCATAAACTTTTCATATTTTCATCTTGCCCCATGGGGATCCGGGTTAGAATAGGTCCTCAGTTGTAAAAGGCGACTAAATGGGCGGTCCTTCGGATGAGACTGTATAAACCGAGGCCCTGTGTCACAGCAGGTGCCAAAGATCCCTTCCTGCTCAAAGGCCGTAATTGCTGAGCATAGGCCTAAATTTGCAGCCCTTCGCCGGCAATGGTGATGTCTCCATATCAGTGAAATATTCTGGAGAGGGACGTTAAACAGTATACAATCAATCAATCAATCAATCAATCATATTTTCATCTTCTTCTCAAGAACCACTGGACCGGTTTCAACTGAACTTGCTACAAAGTATCCTTAGGTGAAGGGGATTCAAGTTTGTTCAAATGAAGGGCCATGCCCTCTTCCAAGGGGAGATAATTTTGAAGTGGTGAAAAATTAATGGCATTTTTTGAAAATCTTCTTTTCAAGAATCACTGGGTCAGGAAAGATGAAACTCATGTTGAATCATCTTAGGATAGTGTACATTCAAATTTGTACAGATCATGACCCCCGGGGGTATGATTGGGCCACAATGGCCGTTCAGAGTTTTTACATAGGAATATATAGGAAAATCTTTTAAAATCTTCTTCTCAAGAACCATTGGGACAGAAAGATGAAACTCATGTTGAATCATCCTCAGATAGTGTACATTCAAGTATGTTGAAATCATGACCCCCGGGGGTAGATTGGGGTCACAATGGCAGATCAAGGTTTAACTTAGGAATATATAGGGAAATCTTTAAAATTAATTTTCTTCTCAAGTACTGCAAAGGCATGATAAGTGATATTCTTATGGAAGCATCCTCAGATATTGTAGATTCTAGTTTGTTCAAAACATAACCCCCAGGGATTGGGAGGGGCCACAATGGGGGATCCAAGTTTTAAGGGGTGTTAAGAAAGTTCGTTCCAGGATGAAATATTTTCAAAAATTTCATAGTAGTGCTTAACTAAAGAGATGGATTTTCAAGTCTGACAAAATCATGAGTGTGCTTCATATGAATAGCAATTCATTTCTAGCAGGAAAATAAAGGATTTTTTTTCCTGTATGAAAAAGTATATAACACCTTTGAGGCACCCAAATGATAGAAATGCTGGTTATTTTGAGCAAAAATAAAGGATATTTTACTTTTGTTTCTTCATAGCTTATATTGCATCAGACAAGCTGATAAGCGGAGGTATAAGAACGATAGATTACTTTTCAAAAGAATAGGTTTGTCATTTTGAAATTTTTCATAGATTTGATAATTTTTGCATAGTAGTTGAAAGGATGTTCTGACCTCCGTGCTTAATATATGTCACAAATATGTGTCATCCCTATTTTTTTCTGAACAGATATCATCTGTTTTAATACCTACCCTCCCCTTATTGATTCAACAAATGACAGTTAAAACCTTATCAATAGCAGGAATGGACACTGTAAACATAAAATATCACAAATTGTAAATATCTTCTCATCGTATTTCTTTTTGAAAATAAAAGAAAAATGTGGAACGAACTTTCTTAACACCCTTTACATTAAAATATATTTTAAAAAATCATTTTTCTAAAGAATAGCAAAGCATGATGAGTGATATTTATATGGAAGCATCCTTAGGTAGTGTTAAAGATCTTTATTCAAATCATAACCCTCAAGGGTTAGGAAGGGTCTCAATGGTGGATCAAAATTTTACATAGGAAAACTAGAGGTACTGTGAGCAATGAGCTCACTAAATGATACCCCCGCCTCCCATATGAATATAATGGCAGTGTCCATGTTTTGCTCTGGAAAATCCAAAATATATGTCAGATCAAAAAGTTAATAGGAGGTGCACAATGGCAATATATGTAATAAAGATTCTCTGAAAGTTTCATGAAATTTCATTCAGTGGTATGAGAGGAATTGCGAATAAGAGATGGGTACCCCAAAGCGTAACAGACGGATGGACGGACGGACGGACGTACAGACGGACAGAAATACTGATTACTATATACCCTCCCAATTTTTAAGCGGGGGTATAATAAAGGGAAAAATCTCAATAACAGAAAAGCTATGTCAAGTCATATTGACATCTAAGCATCCTCATGTATTGAAGATTTAAATTTGTTCAAATCATGAGTACCCTTTGGGGTAGGGAGGAAATGATGGGGAGTCAAATTCAAATTATTACAAAGTAATATACAAACAAAATGTTTAAAAAATCTATAAAAATCTTTTTATCAAAAACTTTTTCAAGCAGTAATTCTGATCTAATCATTTGTGCGTCTTTCCTAGATGATGTGCTCAGGTGAGCGATGTGGCCCCTGGGCCTCTTGTTACAATTGGGAACGAGGCCTAAATTAGGCCCTACATGGGGTAGTGGAAAATTACTGGATACTGAAATTTATTTGCCGCACAATTAGCGTCAGAACTGTAGCTCTCTGCTTGAGAAAATTCGGACAGATAAAGCAGAGAGCTACAGATCCAAGCATTGTAAAAACCTTCGATTTATGCCGACGATTTTTTGTAGCTACTTTAGGTATTTATTTTGTGTAGTTTACATACCTTCCCCTGCTTTGAAAATAATTTTAAATGGTATTTAAAAATTAATCATACTTTCAACTGCAGTTCCTGATCATTTACGTACCTTCGATTCTTACAAATGGCTGTTTATGGTTTACGGATATCGAAATGGAACTCTTTTAAACCGACAATACAAAACTATATATACAGGACTGTTTCGGACCCATAGAATGTAAACAAAGTATCAAATATAAGAGTTAAATATATGAATTACAAGAAAACATTGATATAACCATCAATTGTCGCCGGGAAATATATTAAGTAAACAATGAAAATGAGTCTTGATCATCAAACCGCTTCGATATGTGTGAAAAGGAATGCGTCTAATTGATGGAGACGATAGTCGCGAATATTTTGAAAACTTGTAGTCGGATAAAAATCAATCAAAAACGATACCATTTTAAACTTGATCAATTCCTCAAGTAAATGTTGGCTGCATAAAATATAAATTGAATTTATACACACGCATCACCTATATTTAAAAATGTATTATTTTTCAATATTAGAATATAAAACACGAACTGTGCAGAGTACGTTTTTATCCGAGAAGTAAAATTCGTTGTTCTAAAAAAGGGGACCTGTCGTTTTTTCGATAGTAAATGATGAGCAACTTTAGATATTAAATATGAAAAACGTATATATTTTTACAGATTCACTTTATGGAAGTAAATATATTATGTATCTCGTAATTTATAAACGCAAAGAACATTCTGATTAACAATCTTTTCAATGTTTAGAAAACCTTAAATTCTAAATAACTACTCCCACCCCAATCCCCATACACCAACACTTAAACTTATATGTATAGAGCAGCCCGGTCCTCCGGGCTGCAATAATAGTATACCATTCTAAAGGCCAGTGAAAGTTTAAACTACATGAAATAAATACCCAAAGTAGTGACAAATAATCGTCAGCACAATAAATAAGCTCTCGCTCCTTGAGAATTTTTTTTTAGCTCTCTGAGCCAAAGGCTCAAAGAGCTAATGCGCTATGGCCATTTGTGCGGTGCGCGTGAACTTTTTAGAATATGGGCCATAACACAAGAACCCTTTGGCCAATCAGTGTCAAATTTGACACATGGTATCCTTGGCCCAAGGGCTACCATTTGTACTAACATAAGGGTTGGGACCCTTAAACAAGGGGAGATAATCAGGAAAACAAAACCAAAAGTACTGGTTGCTAAAAAATCTTCTTCTGCAGAACTACCAGGCAGATTTTCACCAAGCTTATATACAAGGATCAGGATATGTTGAAGATAAAAAATTGTTCAAGGCATGACCCTGGGGCAAAGGGCGTGGTCTCAAGGTCACTTAAAAGTTGACCTAAATTTACAAATAATAAAAACGTTTATATTTTGCTTACTATTGGACTTTTACGAGGAGCGCTGACTTTTACAGTTGACGGCTTACTTTTACACTAGAAAAATGTACGGAAGCTCTTTTACGACATAAATATCTAGCTCAACGTTTAATTAAACGAAAATAACGGGTTATTTTAATGCACAAAGAAGTTGTCCTTGAGGAAAATGACATCCACCCTACACTTAAATCCCGGCCTTCACATGTAAGTGCCCCTAACACACCATACGTATGACCACTAGAAAGGTTTTTTTTGTACTATCAATTCTGTACCTCCGTACATGATACAAGTTTAAATGTCCAAGTAAACCGTCAACTGTAGAAGTCAGTGCTTCTCGTAAAAGTCCATTAGGACTAGGATCATCAAATCTTGTAAGTTGATGCATCTTAGAACTTCACATCATGTTAACTCAAAAGTAGGTCACGGTGACTTACTTTTTAAATTTTTTGGGCATTTGTTTTCAAATTGATTTGAAGGCATATTTTGGACACTTTAAGGCCTATGGTCATCAAACTTTGTCAGTTGATGCATCTTGGGTCCTTGAACAATGTCAACTTAAAAGTAGGTCAGCGTGACCTACTTTTTGAGCTTAATGACTTATTCTTTTTAAAACATTTAATCCAATTATTTCAGACACTGAGAGGTTTAGAATCATCAAATCTTGTAAGTTGATGCATCTCAGAACCTTCAATCATATTTATGAAAAAGTAGGTCACTGTGACCTACTTTTTAGCTCACCTCAACGAAGTTGGGGGAGCTTATGTAATACCCTCGGCGTCGGTGTCGGCGTCCCAGGTTAAGGTTAAGTTTCTTGGAGCAGTTTTCTTTTTAAGTACTTCTATGTCCTATATTGATTAGACATGCATGGAAGATGGTTCTAGTGTGTTTCACAGTCAAAGTTTCAGATGCTGCAATTTCAGCAAAGGAATGACCAGGTTAATGGTTTTGGAGCAGGTTAACATTTTTGGTGCAGTTTTTGGTGTAGATTTCATTTCCAAGAAACTATAAGACCTATGTTGACCAAACTTGCATGGATGATACATCTAAGGATGCATACTACCAGGCTTGCTTCGGATGCTGAATCTGACCTACATTTTCCGATTGAGTGAACAGGTTAAAGTATTTGGTGCAGGTTTCATTTCCAAGTAACTATAAGCCCTATGTTGACCGAACTTGCATGGATGATACATCTAAGGATGGATACTACCAGGCTTGCTTCGGATGCTGATTCTGACCTACATTTTCCGGTTGAGTGAACAGGTTAAAGTTTTTAGTGCAGGTTTCATTTGCAAGTAACTATAAGCCCTATGTTGACCGAACTTGCATGGATGATACATCTAAGGATGGATACTACCGGGCTTGCTTCGGATGCTGAATCTGACCTACATTTTCCGGTTGAGTGAACAGGTTCAAGTTTTTAGTGCAGGTTTCATTTGCAAGTAACTATAAGCCCTATGTTGACCAAACTTGCATGGATGATACATCTAAGGATGGATACTACCGGGCTTGCTTCGGATGCTGATTCTGACCTACATTTTCCGGTTGAGTGAACAGGTTAAAGTTTTTAGTGCAGGTTTCATTTGCAAGTAACTATAAGCCCTATGTTGACCGAACTTGCATGGATGATACATCTAAGGATGGATACTACCGGGCTTGCTTCGGATGCTGAATCTGACCTACATTTTCCGGTTGAGTGAACAGGTTCAAGTTTTTAGTGCAGGTTTCATTTGCAAGTAACTATAAGCCCTATGTTGACCAAACTTGCATGGATGATACATCTAAGGATGGATACTACCGGGCTTGCTTCGGATGCTGAATCTGACCTACATTTTTCAGTTGAGTGAACAGGTTAAAGTTTTTGGTGCAGGTTTCATTTGCAAGTAACTATAAGCTCTATGTTGACCGAACTTGCATGGATGATACATCTAAGGATGGATACTACCGGGCCTGCTTCGGATGCTGAATCTGACCTACATTTTCCGGTTGAGTGAACAGGTTCAAGTTTTTAGTGCAGGTTTCATTTGCAAGTAACTATAAGCCCTATGTTGACCAAACTTGCATGGATGATACATCTAAGGATGGATACTACCGGGCTTGCTTCGGATGCTGAATCTGACCTACATTTTTCAGTTGAGTGAACAGGTTAAAGTTTTTGGTGCAGGTTTCATTTGCAAGTAACTATAAGCCCTATGTTGACCAAACTTGCATGGATGATACATCTAAGGATGGATACTACCAGGCTTGCTTCGGATGCTGAATCTGACCTACATTTTCAGGTTGAGTGAACAGGTTCAAGTTTTTGGTGCAGGTTTCATTTGCAAGTAACTATAAACCCTATGTTGACCAAACTTGCATGGATGATACATCTAAGGATGCATACTATACCGGGCTTGCTTCAGATGCTGAATCTGACCTACATTTTTCGGTTGAGTGAACAGGTTAAAGTTTTTGGTGCAGGTTTCATTTGCAAGTAACTTTAAGCCTTATGTTGACCAACCTTGCATGGATGATACATCTAAGGATGGATACTACCAGGCTTGCTTCGGATGCTGAATCTGACCTACATTTTCCAGTTGAGTGAACAGGTTAAAGTTTTTGGTGCAGGTTTCATTTGCAAGTAACTATAAGTCTTATGTTGACCAAACTTGCATAGATGATACATCTAAGGATGTACACTACCGGGCTTGCTTCGGATGCTGAATCTGACCTACTTTTTGTGGATGAGAGAAAATGTTAGTTTTTGATGCATGTTTCATTTCCAATTTACTATGAGCCCTATAATGAGCAAACTTGCATGGACAATACATCTTAGGATGCACACTAATGGACACCTTCGGATGCTGAATTTGACATACATTTTTCAGATAATAGACCAGATAAAAGTTATGGTTGCAGGTCTGTTACCAAAAAACTATAAGGTTTATATAACATTGTATAAACCAAACTTGCACAAATGTTGCATCAAGAGATGAAAACTCTCAAATTTGCTTCAGATGCTGGATTTTGATTATATTTTCATGAAGAAGAACTAGTTTAAATTTTTTATGCAGGTCTATTTCAAAGTATCAGATCAAAATTTCTTAAATATTTTCATTTTTGAAATGTACACTTAGGTTTTCGGAGAGTGACGACCAAAAAGTAGGTCACGGTTATGGCTTTGTTTAAATATCTACAGTACTTATTGGCTTAGAATCATCAAATTTCATCAGTTGATGCATCTTGGGTTTTCGGAGAATGATGTCCAAAAGGTAGGTCACAGTGACCTTATTTTGACATTTTATGGCTATATTTAAGTATTTACGGTACTAACTGGTTTAAGATCATCAATCTCTGTATGTTGATGCATCTTGGATTTTTAGAGAATGTCGACCAAAAAGTAGGTCATGGTGACCTACTTTTAAATATCTCAGGTACCTATTGGCTTATTATCATCAAACTTTGTCTCTTGATGTATCTTGGGTTTCGAAAATCTTCTACAAAAAATTAGGTCGCAGTGACCAACTTTTGACATTATATGGCTATGTTTAAGTATCTTGAGTACTTATTGGCTTAGAATAATCAAACTTTGTCAGTAGATGCATTTTGGGTTTTCCAAGAATTTAGACAAAAAAGTAGGTCATGGTGACCTACTTTTGGCATTTTATGGCTATATTGAAGTATATATCAGGTACATATTGACTCATCTTCGCTAGCCAAGGGTTTCTGATACGCTACTCTCCTCATGAACCCTTGGCATACGGTGAAGTCAAAAGACGGGATTGTTTTCAGCACCTGACCTCGAATCTATCAGGTACGCACAGATTGCGCCATCGACAGAAATAAAGACTCGTGTTAAAAAAAAAAAGATTAAATCAAAGTTTTTTCAAGAATAATTTAGAAGCAATAATTGAGTAATGTTTATTTATTATTTATAGTACAAATCGGAAGCTTCAATATAGATTCTTAATCACATATTTAGAAGATATTGGATGACACCATAGCTATTTATAGAATTGCATGTTATCTTACGGATCATTGTTAACTTGCGTTTTTCAATTCCGAGATTAAAGAGTCAAGAAGTATCCCGAATGCAAATATCGTCATTTACAAAAAAAAATTGATGATTGGTCGACAGGTGTGTACTGAAATCCAATCAGAACTCTGCAAAAAATTCCCGATTTTTATGAACACCGTAGGCCAAGGGTTTATGAGGAGAGTAGCGTATCAGAAACCCTTGGCTAGCGAAGATGATATTGACTTAGAATCATCAAACTTTGTCCGTTGATGCATCTTGAGTTTTCGGGGATCACAAACCAAAAATTACATCACCTTGACCTACTTTTCACATTTTATGGCTATATTTTCATATCTCGAGTACTGGTTGACTTAGAATTGTTAAACTTTGTCAGTTGGGGTATCTTTGGTTTTCGGTGAATGTTGACCAAAAAGTAGGTCATGGTGACCTACTTTTGAATATTTCAGGTACTTATTGGCTTAGAATCATCAAACTTTGTCAGTTGATGTATCTTGGGTTTTCAAAGAATGTAGACAAAAAAGTAGGTCACGGTGATCTACTTTTAAATATCTCAAATACTCATTGGCTTAGAATCTTCAATCTTTGTCTAATAATGCATCTTGAGTCCTAAAAAAATTTAATCTTAAAGTAGGTCACTGTGATCTTCTTATGGTTTTTTATAGCTTTGTTATTAAAAATATTTTCAGTCCTAATTGGCTAAGAATCATCAAACTTTGTCAGTTGATGCAACTTGGGTCTTAGGATACTTAGGGTGAGAGGCTTTAAATAGAAGTGATAGTTTGTACAAATTATCAGAAGAGCGATTCAAGGCCCTTGGGCCTCTTGTTATTTGATGCATGTAAATAAATTGATAGATTAATTTTATTTGGAATTATAAATTCACAATGTTCGATCTCTGTTAACAGGTCAGAAGACTGGGTAAGAAGAAGAAGAGAATCGTTAAGGTGTCCCTCACCCTCATTGCGCCTCACAGCTCTATCCCTAAAAGGTAACTTCATGACTGAAGAGTTCTCACTAAGGAAGATAGGTAATTCATTGATAATTAGTTTCTTAATAATTTCATAGATTGCATGATTCAGAATAATATGCTTCAATATGCAGGTTGACCCTGAATTACAATCCAAGAACAGTAATTCCTTATAACACTCAGGATTCAGATCTCTTCACGGTTTGTACATTATGCTTTTCTCAAGAACTGCATGTACTCTATGTTGTTGAAAAATATAAATAAATTAATGCTTTGCAGTGCTTTCATAACTGATTATCTTTCAAGATTTTTAAAAGTAATTTTTTAAAAATACACGGTGCTCTTTTAGTGAATTATACATGTACTTGATTTCCAGAAAGTGTCAAAATGATACTGATATACATTTCGTATAATTTTTTTTTTGTTTTAAACAGAGGAAAAAGGAAACGGTTTAGAGGGTGAGGGTTTGGAAAGGTTCACTAAGGCTGTAGACACAGTTCACAACTACATGACCAAGAAGATATTGGGAACTTTGAGGAAAGAGGACACAGAATTCATGGAGAGTCTACAAGGTAGTCATTCAGTCTATTCCACATTTTAGATAATGAATGATTACATTGATCCTAGAAAGCACATATGTTGTGTATACCGGTAGTCACAAAATGCAGCCATCATCTTGAATTTTATATCTAATTTTATTTTTCAGGTGAAAACATTTTGCCTCATGAAACTGCATGACTTATAAATATTTTTGATTTTTTTTTCAGAGGAGGAAGAGGTTTGTGAGAATTCCCCGCCCCCATCACCTGTCCCCCACACTGTGTCTCCCCCGGCCTCACCGATGTCCAGTGTCGACAGTGGAGACAGTCTTATATTTCTAGGCTCAGAGGAACCGGATCCAGAAATCACTAAAATGTGTCTTCTTCAGTACATGTAATCATGTTAGGACAAAATGATTATTAAGTAGATGGTAAAAAAATGAGTAGGTTTTCCTCTTGGGTATATTTGCTTGTTTCCTTTTGTTCTGAATACTCTTACATACATGTATTCAATAATCGCAGTGATTCTTAGATGCATAACTTATAAAGTATCCATTTCAGATATGAGAAGATTAAAGAGAGAAATGAGAGTCTTGTGAAGTTTTTAAAATCCAGTGAAGTAAAGGTAAGTAGATTGTTTTAAAGGTTAAATTGATTACATGTATCAATGTTAGTGATGTAGAACTCAGTAAAGATTGTAGTGAATCAAACCCACAATGCCATCATTTATTTACTTATATCCTAAGTGTTTAAGTCTGCTGGATATCTTAATTTATAGGTGTTAATGTGTTTTAATTCTTAATAGTATGAAAGTAAGGTGTAAATCTTGCAGGAACACTAGTATTTCATTAAAGAGTTCACGTGTAGCATTTTGAAAAGTTGTAAAAAATATCTGTTTTATATCTTAAGTATTTTGTAGCAATATCTGCTAGATATCTAAAGAAAGTTTTCGTTAGACATAATTAGGGAGTTATTGATGTTATTTTTGTAGCAGTATCTGTGAGATATCTTTAGAGAGTACTACTTTGATGTTATTTTTTTGTAGCAATATCTGCTAGATATCCTCAGGGAGAAGAAGAAGAGTGAGAAACATACCACCTACAGATACGGCCTATCTAAAGCGAGGGACGGCCTTAAGAACCCGGGGTTTGGACCAATCGCTGACGAGGACCAGGTGGGTTCAATGATACTGTAGGTTTATTAATTTAAGGTGGTATCAAAGTTTTAGGTTTTGGCACTAAATCCATTTTTGTTCTCATGTAAATTCATGGACAGCTTCCTTTTCCCATTTAGTCTGTAGTCAAATCCATACTGAGTTGATAACCTACTTTTAATTTTGTCATGAAAACTTTATAATTTAGAGATTTACTAGATATAATAAACTCATAGTGTATAGAATTTTGGAAATTGTGAAGCAATAATAACAGCTTTTCTTCATTCATGATTTTAGAAAACATTTTCTTAATGCTTCCATGTTGAGCAAAATATGATATACATATACTTTACACAAATGTACGAGGGGCGTTCAATAAATAATGTCATTAGCTCCATGACATACAACAAAGAAATCATATGATATTAAGCTTGACGTTTTCTAATTATTAAATCTTTAATGAAATGATAACAGTTTATGTGACCACTTTTCATCGCATAATTTCATTGTGGGAAGCTGAAAAACAAGGGCTACTCGAGACACTGCGTTAAAATGGTCAAGAATTAGTAAGTTAGAGTAAAATTGAACGCGTCATTAAAGCAGCTGTAAAACTTGTTAATTTCCCAAAAATATATTAACTGAAATATGTGGAATTTACAGCAACTTATGTCTGTTTCATACACACATGAACAGGTGGATTTCAATTAACAAAAATTATGTAATGGTCATCAAAAATGGGAACCCTCCTTTTCAACAAGGATATACAACAACCATTATATATTAGCGATAATTCAACAAATTATCACAGATTATGTTTTATTGACTTTAAGTTACATAGCAAATTTGATAGACATCATATCGGGGGTAGTTCACACTGTTTTAAAGAAACACTTGATTGTAAAAAAGTTTAATACTCAAATGTCACCCTATATTTATATATGAGTGAAATCGAGAGCATGTAGAATATCTAAACAATTATTTTTTAAAAATCAAAAATTGTTCTTATCCATTTCTGAAATTCAAACAGATCATGAAACTTGAATCCATTTTGCATTAAACCCTCAAAACAAAATTAGAATAAGATGAACTTGACAATACTGCAAAGGCCTAAGAAAACAAAAATTTGCAAGAACACAAAAACAGTTTTATATGCTATTTTCTTAAATATTAGCGGTCTTGTCGTTCAAATACATATATAGGGAGGCAGTTCAATTTCTGGAGGAGTCTAGTAAGCAAAATATTTGCCAAAAAATTGAAAGGTTTATGAGAGGAAGGAAACAGAATGAGGAATTCACTACATTAATTTTTTTTCCTGACAGCGTCCAAACCCACAGGCCATGAAGAGTAAAGGAGTTTTGGGGTAAACAGAAAGTTAATGTTTTGTCAAATCAACAATATTCGCCAGATCTTTCGATCCTTGACTTGTTTCATTTCCCAAACTTAGGAAAACACCTTTCAGAAAGAAAAAACAAGCACAGCAAATCATGGGATCTGCCATTTTCCAGTATACGAAGGGTCATACTCAAAACTGTGTTCTAAAAACAATTAAAAATTGAATAAAAAGGTTACGGACATGTGTTTTAATTAAAAGAGAATATTTAAGTGAAATCATTAAGATTAAATCATTAAAAAGCGATTTTTGTTTCTTTTTGACCACCGAGGACATTATTTATTGAACGCCCCTCGTATTTATCCATATCTTGTTTTCTTTTCAGCATGAAGACATTTTGAACACCATGTTGGCCTGGTACAAACAGGAGACAAAGGTTGCTAGTGATGAGTTCCCTGACTGGAACTACGTCCTGGATGTTTGGATCCCAGAGGTGAGATTTATATCTAATATAACTTTGTATTGTCAATAAGGGATTCAAACTATTGTATTATTGATGTACTTAAGAAGTTTATGTTGCATAAATATTAGTATGTGTAAGTCTTTCCACTAAAACTTAAATCATAATGGAATTTTCAATGGGGAAAAAGACAAGTATATATTTACACACTCATATATACATGTAGAACTTGGTGTAAAGAGAGTTATTAAGCTCAAAGTCAACAAAAGAAATACAGCACAATCTGAATTGCTTTTAAAATTAGCTTCATTGTTTTTTTTTTAAATAAGAACAGGTGAAAATGACTTGAATAATTGCAGGCCATAGTGTATGCCTTAATAAAGTTGAAGAAGTACACTCGTAAGAAGGCATGGCAGCGGTTTGAGAAAGGTGTGTACATAACAAAGAAAGAAAGGGCCGAGGTCCACAAGTCGATACTGGAGAGTGCTAAAAGAATATCACCCGAGGACGTACAGAGATACGAGGAGAATCTTAAGTACAGGATGAACGTCATCTGTCAACGGAGCGGACTTCACAATATCATATTATGATTGCCATCTAAAGGACAGGATGAACGTCATCTGTCAATGGAGTGGACTTCACAATATCATCTTATGATTACGATTTACAGGACAGGATGAATGTGATCTGTGAAAGGAGTGGACTTCAGAATATCTTATTATAATAATGAGAGAATGAAGCAGTGAAGGATCTTATGGAAAACCTCATCAATCACCATTACGGAAACCGAAATGTATGAAATTGTGATCGTGATTGTGATTGAAAAAGCTTGTCATCTAATGTTGACTAGAGTACATGATATGCAGGTGCTCATCAAGTATCAGCTCAGGGGATTCCTAATGACCACTTTATGATGATTACCGTACGGTATACAAGGGCATGAGTTGTTCAACAACACACCACCAAGGTGGGCTCTGTAACATCAGGCATTGATAATTTGGGGCATACTGTCTGTGAAGATGCATAAAGACTGAATTCTTAATTGAATCGTCAATAAGTGGAAGCTAAAGGACCATTTATGATTAAAATGAAACCTAGTCTACCTTACATGTACCACCGGAGATAGCAAAATAATGTATTCCCATCTCATTACCTTAATGCAAGCCTGTAGTATCATGAATATTTTAACCATTATAATTACATGTGATTGTTATGCCCCCCTTGGAAGAAGGGAGGGCATATTGCTTTGCTGCTGTCTGTCGGTCTGTCGGTCCACTTAGTTTCCGTTCATTTTCTTCGCAACCGTTGCACATACTGAAATGAAGTTTGGTATACAGATCACATGAATATCTAAGTCAAGTTCTGTTTTGGGTACGAACGCTCCATTTTTGACAGAGTTATGCCCCTTGGACTTAGAAAAATTTCAATTATTTGCAGTTTCCGTTCATTTTCTTTGCAACTGTTGCACATACTGAAATGAAATTTAATATACATTTTTATCATAAGAATATCTAGACCAAGTTCTGTTTTGAGTATGATCGAGTCATTTTTGACAGAATTATGCCCCTTGGACTTTTTTACAAAATTCCAATTATTTGCAGTTTCCATTCATTTTCTTTTCACCCGTTGCACATACTGAGATGAAATTTAATATACAGATTTATCAGATGAATATTTAGGTCAAGTTCTGTTTTGGATACGATCACACCATTTTTGACAGAGTTATGCCCCTTGGACTTACAAAAAAATTCCAGTTATGATCCGTGGTGACCATAATGATTGATATGATATTTCTAATATAAATGCACAAATTCAAACACAGATATTGGCCATTACCTTGTGGTAAAATATCAAAGCAAGTAATCTAGGGTTTCTAGTCTGACACTTCATCTTTATGATACATGATTATGTACCTCATCAAAAATCAGAATTAGAGATGTCCCGTTGTCTAATGGAAAATAGGTGTTCCGTATGATTCCCTGAGTCCACGGTCACTGAAACATTGGTCAAACTGTATGGACAATGGAGAGCTCAACATCAACACAGACAGCAAACAGCTCACTATCATTGATGACGGGAAAAGGTGAAACAGAAAATTAACACTTTATATTTCCATTCCAGGAAGTAGTCTCTTATGCCCTGAAAAAAAAATTCCTGTTAAAATTAACTTAAAATTCTTTATCTATTTACAAAATATGTAAAATGCCCGAAAAACTGTGACCAAAATAAAAAAAATTGATAGGAAATTATGAACTGTGAAATGTACATACGTTACGTCACGTAAGCAAAGTGCTAAAAACCAAAACACGTTCAACTTGATGACGACAAGTTTGTCAACGATTTTTTGTACCATTTGATGCACTAGTCTTATACACATTTTTTCAGTATTTATGGACGATATGCATTTCATGCAGTCTTTTAAGGTTTCGTCAAAGTTCAACATGTCCAACAATTTATTTTAACAATAGCCCCAAAACTATATGAGGTATAAAGTTAAAACTTTTACAGTTAATAAATTTTTCATTGATTAACAGATAGAAAGTATCACTTGATAAAAAAAATACTTGGAAAAAATATTAATTAAGAAAAATTCTTAAAAATGCATATATTTTTAAAAAAATACACCTAATTAATTCAACGCTCTTAGTGAAAACCATTATTGTAGAAACAAAATATGTTTGT